TACCCCAAGAGAAGTCTTCTATCATCTAATATATTGATGTTGATTGACCAGGCTGTTTTCTTTTGAGAATAAAAGTAATGTAAAAGCGTGCTGGTCTTTGTTTATTTACCAGTATGAAAAGCACACATCCTCAGGACTCAGCAGTTTTGAGTCTAGTCAATAAGAAAGCCTCCTAAAAGAAAGAAAAACTATTTGGAAACATTTGCAAAGTGTGAGACAAAGAATAGTCTTTAAAAAGCTCCAATTTTACTCTGGAGCCAAGTTTACTAGAATACTTTCAGTGGTGTCCTTTTCGGACTTTATAAATTGCTCTCTCACGAGGCAGGATGGGCTTATGGGACTTCATGCCCCTCATCCCTGGCAGCTGACTTCACAGAGGTCACCCACATTCCTCAGTGGCTCACTCAGGACTGGCTCTGGGCTCCAGAGCCACAGGGCTTGATGTAAATAGCAGCTTGTGTGTTCTGAAAAGGGAGAAATCTTCTCAGCTCCTTGTGGTGTTTCATGGTGTTGAGTTTGTCTGGGAAAGTCTACAAGTTCAGAGCCAACAGTCTCCTTACCCCCCCCCCCCCAGGGCATTTCCACTTCTGTCACTGGGGTTCGGTGATCATTTCAGCCTTGTGCTCCTAAAGAGTTTACTGCTTGTGCATGTCATATGACACCCTTAAACAGGCCTAACCTGTGAGAAGGCAGCCATGTTTTGTCTTCCGCTGTCTGTTAACAATGGCAGTTGTGAGGTGCAACATTTTAAATAATTACTACTGTAAATAGCCAACTTGGAAACGAATATCTAAGATCTTTCTAATAACTAATACCTTTCTGGTCAGAGCACATTTCCATCGACCAATAAGATGAATGAGTTTGTAAATGTGAAATGGACATTACTAAAAGAAACTATAATTGTCATTTCTAGGTTCTCACCCTTTTCAGTCTCTGACTGACTTTCTATAATGTGAATAAATACTTCAGACAATTTCTGGGTATGGGATATTCCACACACTCTTTAAATTGAGCAAGCATTTCTGTGGCAGTTACTAATTCCTGTCAGGATGGGGCTATATAAACCTAGGCATGGTGGCCCCCAGGTTCAAGGCCAGTCTACCAGAGTTGAGACCTGTCTCCAAAGCAGAGACAGCTCCACTAACAGCAAAGAGATTGTGTTAAGTCATCCCAGAGTGATGTTCTGTGCATCAAGTTGGGGCGGGGGGGAACACCCTGAATCGGGGGAATTCTGAATTGATAGCCACACAGCAGTTCTTTATTTGATGCACTGTGCTGTTTGTAAGTCTATACCATTCAGTCCTCACACGGTCCTCCACTGTAGATACTGCTGTCCTCGTTGATGGATGGAAACACTAAAGCTGTGTGGCCGGTGGAAGTCCACTGGCTCCTGTGAGCACAATGACCACTACGACCCCTCTGGTTAGGTTCCTGTTTTTTTCTTTTATTACTATTCTCCTTATTATTCTCTCGTTTTTTTTAAAGAAGACTGATTGATTGACAGACACAGAATATTTACTGCTTAAAACCCTGGGATTCTACTTCCTCAAAATAAAAGGCCATAGGCAATTTTGTGGAGTTTTTTTTTTTTTCACATTAAAGTCGTCTGGCAACACTAAGGACTTACCATTAAGGAAGTATCTTACTGATCTTCTATAACTTTAAAACTACCCAGGAGCCCTTAGACACCAAGTTTACACACATACAATGATGAGGACAATGTTAAACGGTTTGGCTTCTAACAGTCAAGCAGGATTACAACTCTTGGTTCAAGATGCTGAACAATCCAGAAACCTCAAACACTTCTAGGAAGGAGAAAGGATCATTTTTCCTTTTTCAATTCTGCACCTTTTCTCTGTGCTTATTCATCATGTTTTAAATAAACAGACTGAAGAAGTTGTTATTCAAACTCTCCCAAGGCTTCTTCAGTTTCAGTCTGAAACCAAGTTCAAAATATTCTGGCATAAATTAAAGGCACCATTCAAACATTTCCATAAATTTTAAATTGTGTAAAAAGTGGTAAAACTAAAATGAGCTGGAAAAATGACTAATAAGCATTTCCTCATCTCATAATCCATGATTGTTTTCAGATTCTGAAATTAGCTCTAATGTACCCTTGCTTTTCAGAGTCTCTGTACTATATCTCTTTCTGAATTTATTTATTTTTTCACATTTGACTCTTTTGGTGTGTCCATAAAGAACATGCAATGTCTTTAATATCATAGTGTTCATTCACGAAGGGAGGTGGAAACGCTGCCTACTTGCTATTTTCTACCTTTATTACCCATCCCGGTGGAATAGATGTCATTTTTAGGAGAGAGCCAATCTATAGAGTTGCCATGATTATGGGCAGGATTGGAGGATTTGAGCTCCCCAATAGTGAAGAGCATTCTGTAGTCTACATCTCAAAGAAGTGGGGTGCCCGCACAGTAGCAGTGTTGTGTAACTGCATGGTGTCTAGGCTAGTTAAGCTTAGGATTGCTCCTTTACCCTTTTGCTGTTTCCCCAGTGAATTTGAACCCATTTGTTAAAGTTTGCCTATTATTGGAACCAACTTAAAACACAAAGCAAAATCACATTCCCTTTTTATTATGTAGTGAAGTAAGTATAAAAAGATGTACAGATAACTGTTTTTATTTGAGCATTAAAGGTTATTGTGATGCTGTATGCATTTTGTTGCACTGTCATCTGATAGCGCTTAAAATGGGGTTCAGGAGTGCTCTTCTGGCTTAAGGAAGTTTAAGGATGAGGTCTCAGAAGCGTTTTCCAGTGGATCTCTAAACCTGCACACAAAATAGTCATGGTAACTAGGAAGTATTTAGTACTTGTTTGCTCACAAAACCTCATTGTCAGCCTATTGTGTTTCCATTGGCTTCATTTCTCAGACCGTCAAGAAGGGGATTTGGTCAACTTGTTGTTTCCCAAGAGTGGGTAGAGTAAAACTTGGGAGACTGGGACAGGGGGATTGTAAGTTTGAGGGTAGCCTAGCGTACATACCAAGATCCTGTCTCAATGAAGAGGAAAAGGAGAGAGAGACACAGAGCATGAATTAGATGAATTTGATTTGACTAGACTTGTATTACAGACTGAGCTCGATCATTTAAACATGATAGGAAATTCAGCACTAATGTTTTTAGTCTAATTTTTACTTTAAATGATAAATTAAATTACTACTAATTGTAGTAATCTGTTCTTGGGAGTCTAGGGAAATATTAAAATTAAAAACATATGTTAAAAATAGCTAATACAACTTTTGGTATCCAAACGTTGAAAAATCAGTGTTGCTATTTGATGTGGACAACTGAAAGAGATGCTTCAGCAGGCAACACAGTGAGTGCACTGTGTCCCTCTTGTTCTCAGACCTTAGAATTGAGGAAAATCTTTCCAATCTCTGGACCTTTATGTTGCTGCTCACCCCCTGTAATTTACTTTTCCCTGCATCTCTCAATACATTCTCATTTCCATCCTTTAAACATCACCTCAGATATCGCCTCTTTATAAGGCCTGGCCCTGACCAGCCTGTGCAGAGTAAACCTTCACCCATACATACCCCAGGCACAATCTCTAGGCACCTTCTTTATTTATATTGTTCCTGCCTCCTTTGAAATGTGAGCTCCACCAAAAAAAAAAAATACAATTATCTCCCTTATTAATGCCATGTCTAACATGGTGCCTGTCTCAATAATGTGAATGAATTAAGTACAGAAATTAGTGGAAATGAAGGAGGAGGAAAGAAAAGAAACAAGGCATTGGAAAGAAATGAAAAATAGAAATTGGTATAAGGAGGGAGCAATGACCTGAGGAATAGTTTGTAGTGTGGGATTGGTATTTATGCATGCTCAACTTGTAAAGAGTGTTTTCAAGTTGAGTAAAAATACTATGGCACCTTTCTCTCCTCTCTTCTCTCTCTCCTCTCCCTTCTTCCCACTACCGTGTGTCTGTGTGTGTCTCTCTCTCTGTGTAGGTGTGTGTACATCTTATCTTCCCCAGAAACACACAGTGACCTTTTGAAGCAGAAAGTAATTCTTAACAGGAACCAATATCTTTCCATAGTCACCACGCTTTGCTGAAAGGTCCAGATTCTAAATGCCTTGTGATGTGCATGTCTTATGCTCACACTTTTCATTGTGTCATGGAGAAGGCCATAGATAAGGCATAAGCAATCACTAGGCTATGTTCCAGTAAAGTTTTGTTTATGGACCGAAATTTTGATTTCCTGCAATCTCATGTAGTATTATTCTGCTTTGGTTTTGTTCAACCAAAAGAGAAATATAAAGACCATTTCAGTGCATGATCCTATGATACAGGTAGCTGGCTGGATCTGGTCAACTCTCTTGGCTCCTGGACTAGCTTCATGGTAATCTAAGGGAAAAATGCTCACCGTTTGCAAGACAACTGGCACAGGGGAGTAAGGAATAAGTCTTCCACTTCTACAAGGATAAAATTTCTGCTGGTAAAATTTAGGGTAATTTGGCAGATGGAGGAAGAGTCTGATGTCATATGATCAGACCTTCCTGGTATACAGTCACTCAGCATCCGGGAGGGTCCATTATCCACGGTGAAGTTGAGAGTCTGAGCAGCCCACATGGTAGGGGAACCGCCCGGGGCTGGCTACTGAAAACCCATAATTCTACTTAGTCCCTCTCTTCTCAGACTTGCAGAAAGAGTATCTCCATCTTTCAGTACAGTTTTGTGAAATCAAGATGTGGGCACATTAAAGTAACTCACTGAATTCTTTATCACCCTGGAGGGGTCACTATGGAATTTCATGTGATGATTTTTCTAGACTTCATGGTTTTAAATCGGATAAGGACTTATCTGGGGAACCATTTTAAAACACTGCATGGTATCATTTTCTCTAAATGTAGAAATTAAAAAATTAGTTGGAAATTATGGTCTGTGTTCATGTTATTTTATAGCTATACTATTTTGAGCATCCCAATAATTTTAAGATAAGAGAGTTCCACAACTCTTTGATAACTCACATCTCTCTCAAACAGCCGAATCTGCTATTTAAACTTCCACCTTGGGAAGAAGCTAGTCAGTCTGCAGTGAAAACTCAGAATGCAGCTCAATTTGAAGATAAAGCAGTTAAGTATGTCATAGATAGGAATATCTAGGATATTGAAATTGAATAGCCGAAAAACACATCTGTTTTATTTTATGGCATACAGGATAACCCAGCTTCAGGTATGCTTCCCATGGGGATATGTAAACAAATCATTCGTTTGTGTTTTTTTCTTATATCATTAAATATAAAGAATAGCTTCCTATTGGTTGCCTAAGGGCAAGGAATTGCAGGTTTATTTTGCATTCATTAACTTCCTTTCTTTCGTACCTGTCTGTGTGTATTAGAAAATACCAATTAATAATAGTATTTTAATTAAGTCAAACTGAATAGGAAGAAGAAAATGTGACGTAAAATCAACCAAATAGATGGTTTTAAAACTTCCAGCTCAGGTCTTGATTTCTCTCAGATGCAGTCCCTCTGACATGTAACACTGAGAAGTAGCTATGCACAGGAACACACGTGAGGAATGTGGTATCGAAAGGTGTGCAATTACCTGATATGCTTCCTGCAGAGTGTCGAGTAAATAATTGCATATAAAATAGGATGTACATTATTGGAATTGTACAGGGATGGACCATTTCATCATCAAGTGGACTGTGTGGTCCACTTGATTCAACTGTGTGGCATACAGGACAGGTAAGGATATGGCTAATTCAGTCCTCAGGAGGAAGGGGCTTAGGCAAAGGGTCCTATGCTTATGCTTATAATGATTTTCTTGTGATAATTTTCTTCCAAGAAGCCTCAGAGTTATGTGCCTTTGAGGGAAATAAAGGAGATGTGATACTTACGGTTTTCCTTGGGCCAGCTTCCTTTAGAGGCCGTCTGGTGCATATCTGTTTTCTACCTGAAAACACAAGCGTACTCTATTATTTTCTACACATTCTCCATGGCATAGTCCTGTTCCTAAGCCATGGCATCATCATCATTGCAGTATGACCTGCTTTGGCTTCAGAGCATTTTTGCAAACGTGTGGCTAATCTCACAGCTGGAGACCTGTACTCTATTTTTTAAAGTGTAAATCCCTGGAAAAGTTATGATGTGTTGTTTTCTGAGTTGCTGGCTTTCTTCCTCTACTACCCAACTGCTGTTCTTACATCTCTCTCTGGGAATAGTCAATCTTAGGAATCATATCAGCTTTCATTTACATTGCCCCAGACACCACCACTATATTTTATCTGCTGATAATTTTTATTTGTACTGTATCCCAGATGCCACACAGTGACCAAAATGCCTTTGTTTCCTGCTGGTAGTCATTTCAGTGTGGAATTAGAAACTCCCAGGAGAACAATAATTCCGTCTTCTACCTTCATTTTTTTCCCTTAAGGTACATTTTGTGGACACATGCCTACATACCCCATTAGATTGTATCTTAAAGAAGGAATCTTGAAATGACCCTTGATTTGAAAAGATTGCTTCTTGATTTTGAAATAGAGTGAATAAACCTAACTTTGGAACTAGTTTCATAGAATTAAGTGCTAGAATTTATAACATCTTGAAGCAACCCGCCCCCCATTTCTTTTCTGACTATATTTTCCAGTCCAAAATCTAGAGGCAAATCACACAGCTTCATTTATCTGCTCCATTTGCCTTCTCCACTCCATACACCATCACTCAGGCCCTTCTGCATTTCCCTTACAGTAGATTCGAAATTACATGGCATCCTTGTGAGACTCCAGTGCCACCCTTTCTGTAACAGCCAGCTGATTTGTGTTGATCAGTAATGACCTCATACCAAGCAAAACCACAAACCTAAGTGCTAATCCGAGAGCACAGCAGAAGGCAGGCACAGAAGCCAGCTGCAGGCTCAGTTATACCCTACCCAAGGAATGTACTAGAAATGTGGAAGAGACACGTTGAGTCTGCTTTTAAATTCTGTGATTGTCTCTGCATCTCAGACACTTGCCACGCCAGGCCAAATGATAAGCAATATTATTAGATACTAGTCCAGGCCTGGATTTGACATGTCCCTTTAGACTGACTTCTCTTGGTAAGTATAAGTTGTCATTTAGTGACAACATTTTAAGATGAAACCTTCACTTGTGGTTTTTTCATTTCATTCATTAGTTCTGATTTGTTGTTTTGGAACCTAAGTAGGTTAATTTGGAAAAAAGCATGTAAGTAGCTATTAAAATAACCAATATACTCATAGTATCTAGTGTGATGAGGTAGCAGTAAACAATAGTACCTATTGTTGGGTAAATTGAAAAGTGGATGGCTGGTACATCAGTGCAAACTTCTCTGATACCATCCATCCTCAAGAAAGTCAAGAGTAACTGTTCTTGACTCCTGAAAGGAGTGTGCAATTTCATGTTTAGATCATAATTTTGTATTCAGAACCAACTCATGCTATATTGTATATGTTTTTTGATGTCGCTGTGTTGAAATTGTGTTTTTTTTGTTTTTTTTTTTTAGTAAATTTTATTAAATTATAAAAGTTTCCATTTCCACCCCCCCTCCCAACACCCTCCCACTCCCCCTACTCCCCCTCCTCCTCCCTCTTCGTCCCCCAGGGCAGTCAGGGTTTCCTGCCCTGTGGGAAGTTCCAGTTCCTTCCCCCTCCCTCCAGGTCCAGGAAGGTGAGTGTCCAAACAGACTGGATCCCCAAAATCCATTATATGTAGAGGAAACAGGTCCCAGTGTCATAGTCAATGGCTTTTCAGAAAGACTTTGGGTCAGCCACAGTCAGAGAATCCGGCCAAATTCGGAGAGTCTGGTTAGATCACGTCCTCTTTCAGTCCCAGTCCAACTGGCCTTGGTAAACTCTCATCAGATCCGTTCCCTTGTATCAGTGGGTGATAGCATCCCTCGCAGTACTGATTTTGTTTTTCATGTTCTTCCTCCTTCTGCTCCTCATTTGGACCTCGGGGGGCTCAGTCCGGTGCTGCAATATGGGTCACCGACTGTATCGCCGTCCTTCGTCAGATGCAGGATCTATGGTGATAAGCAAAATATACATCAGTATGGACATGGGCCACGGCCGATTCAGGCACCCACTCCTCTGTCCAGAGAGCAATCTGGGGGATCTCTCCTTGGACCTGGGATCCCATATATAATCAAGTCTCCTGTAAACCCTAAAATG